ATAAGAAAATGACATGGTGTGGTTTAAATGAAATGGGCAGTGTTAGAAGCAATTATTCCGAATCGTCCACGGTGCTGACATTGGCGTCACATATTTGACCAAAGAGTGAATAATTGCTTGTTACGTACTGTTGCAATTATGGTCTCTATCTACATCCTTTTCGTTTGGTTCTTAAGTTTAGCATTAACCAAACCATTTTTATATGTCTCACTTCTTCTTGTGATGCTTGTCAAGTGATAAAAGCACGTGACATAGCCTAAAATGTAGGGTCGTTGAGTATTATTCTGAGAGGTTTGAAGTCTATGAGGTAAATGCAGATTCTCGAATCTCAATTGGGACGGGCAAATGAAGCCATAAAGAACGACGCGATGCAAGGATAAATGGTGGGCCCTGCTTTGAAATCAGGCCCTTGACATGAGGATGATGTCCCACATTAATTACTATGATTTTTTTAACCATTTAACCCACCCCTTTAAAAACAATATAAATAAAAAAGGTTCTAGAAAATTGCGTGCACATTGCACAATCATCTATGTTGTGGAGTATTGTTCACAATATGGGCTTTTTCTATGTTGGGTTTGAAGCTATTCAGATAGCCCTTAGAGCTTAACCATAGCCCCTTCTAGCTTAAACCCGTCATTGACATGAAGATGCAACTAAGTTGATAAATGGCCATTTCGTTTCATTTGTAGGTTGTTTGGTCATCACTCGTTACTGTTTGCAACTATTCCTTAGCCTATTGTGTGCTATAGCATAACAGAGGCAATCATGTAGCATTAGAATTTAGGAGGATTATCATCCACTTTTGGCAAAAATTTTCCAGATTTTAACATAAGCATAGGCAATCATGTATATACACTACACTGATTTTGGTACTTGATAGAAGAAACTATGTATAAAAACGTTCTCAAACTCAACCATTTAACAAGCCTTGTGTGGCCTTGGTACAAAGCAAACACCAAAGGAAAAACAGACCCAAATTCTAGCATTGTGTGGCCTAAATACAGCAATAACTTAAAATAAAATAAAAACAAAAAGAAGAATAAAAATGCAAGATAAGTGCAAGCACCCCATTGCTGATTGCACCATGTTCTTGACACTGACACACTTTTTGGTCAATAGTGCACATTGGATTGCAAAAGCGAGAAGGCTTATTATCAGAAACCGGGCTAAAAGAGAAGCCCAACACCAAACTACACGACTGATCAATTATGTTCTTCCAACATTTGAGTTTCAAAGAAAGCTTTAATATCAAGTCAAAGCCCATTAAGCTTATCGCCCATCACCCATGTGAGCATAATGGCGTATTCAATGTAGACCCACCGACCCGTCATATTTTAACAATAATTATTTATTTTACGAAATTCTCAAGAGATACACAAATAATTATTTATGTAAAAAATAGACTAATCAAATAAGTAATAAACAAAAAATAAATTTGTTAACCTCTAAATACAATATTTAAATTATAAGTAATTTATGAGCTATATTTAACATTTTCAGAAAAAAAAATCATTTTCACACACAATATAATTTGGCTATGTTGAAGAAGGAGGAGTGTGAAATACTACAATTTATTGTGTGTGGTGTACGTGGTACCACGTTAGAAGAAGACATGTGTGAGGTTTACGCACGTGTGAGAGGAAGGATCAAAGGTCCTAAAATTTGAGCATCCTCTAGGAACCAACCCAAGCTTGATTGTGAAGCCTCATCCTCGCTTCACACTCACTCACATGATCGCTGACACTCACACCCTTCCTTCCTTTATCGCGTGCTCTCTGCATCCCTCTATTTTTCTAATTGAAAACAACACCAATAAAGAGGAACCACTCTACATTTATTATATATTTTAAACGACCCCTAACTTTATATTCCCCCACTTTGTAAATGATACTGGGTTGCCTTATTTTAACTTGAAATCAAAATATGCAACAAGTGATCATTAAATAACAGCTAAAATGTATTATAAATTCAACAAAAGTGTGACGGTAATAATTGTGTAAGCAAACCTTATCCATTAGTTACTGAGGGTTCATTAATCTAGGGATCAGAGTACCCATCTGACTCAATCCTTGTTTTATCTTAAATCTATATATAAAATACAAAAATATAAAATAAAATGCTTGCTCTAACGCCAGCACCCACATGATTTTACATCAAAATGTTTTTGAATTTGGGGAAGTCGGTACAGATATACAACTTTGAAGGACCCAGAGATAAATTAATCATTTTCCTTTGCTTACTAAGCTTCACTGGTCACATGTACGCTAATCTAATTGCCCATATTTTAAATCCTCTTTATCTATATTTAAACCCAATATCATAGACCAGGTGTCACTTACTTCTTCATACAAATTAGATTAGCCGTTATGAATTCTACATACAAGATTCTTGCATATGCATGATAGATAGTACAAATGAAAAACAATGATATTGTAAGTAAAAAACCATCAAGTTACCAAACCATTAAAAGGGCTATGTCGTTAATACCATACCTAACAAAGGGAAAAAATATACTACTTAATCATATAATATCACCACTATTTGAGCTAAGGTAGCAGGTGAAATTAAAGTAAAAAAACTTGCTAATTAACGGGCCACGTGGATGAGATCATGGGCATTTTTGGATTAAGTTGAGCTGTAAGCGTCGTGCTGAAACGTGAGAAGGGGAATATAATAAGAGGGCATGATAGGGCAAGAGGGGTAGAAAGTACAATTAATTGAATTAAACTAATGTAATAAATCAGAATGAAATAAATTAATTAAAATTTTGCACATCTCCCGAAGTAATAATATTATTAGCAGCAGAGGAATCCGGCTGTAAACTTGGACACTATTGGAGGAGTCACAGCGACAAAACCTGCAAGAGATTGATTCTTTAGGGGTTGAATTTGTTGAACATTAAATCCTTCCCTTTTAATCATTGTTAATTAGGACATTAATTATCCAATAATTTACATTGTAAATGCATAAACTATTGAGGTCTCTGCCTTGTGGTTTTACTTTATCACTAAATTTAGCGTCTAAAACTGACATGTTAAGGAAATGAGCAGTGTGTGTCTGTGGCCATAGCTGTTTTCTTTCCAAGTGACAGCCCACCATTGTGCTGCTGCTTAACACTTGATTCCTGTTCAAACCACATGATCATTATTCATTGCATCAACTAATCCTTCTTTTTTCCTCTGATCATCTTTTACTTTTCATACAAACCTTTTGGTAATAATAATAGACTTATGGTTAACACTTTCCTAATATACCAATTCTTCAAATATAAAGAATCTCGCACAAAAGTAAACAGTGCCATGTCAGGGTGTAATGTTGTTTCATTAACTTTAATTTCAATGGTTTAAGTAAATTTTCTTTTAACTACAAGTTGACAATTTTAAATAGAAATCAATCATTCAATTATGTGTCAAAACATTATATCTCTGGTCCATTTTATAAAAAATATTCTAAAAATTTTGCTTAGTTCTTTTTTTTTTAAAAGAAATATATTAATAGTAATTTTTAGATTTGATTCTAAGTATATAAAAACAATACTTTTATAAAAAAAATTATTATATATAAAATATAAAATTATAATGATTTTTTATTTAAATTTTAAAAATATTAAGACTCATGGTAACAAAATTATTTTATAAAGCCTCAGTCAAATTTTCTATTGCATATTATTTTACATAAATATTGCTAATTAATTATGATAAATTATTTTCCTATGCTTTTTCTTTCTCTTGATAATAGAAAGAGATCACTAGTCACATTTTTCTTTTTTATTTATTTTATTATATATATTTTAATCATTAATAAATTGTTAACAAGATTGATATTACTAATCAAAATTTTGAAGTATTGTAAAATGGTTTAAATGATATACAAGATTAGAATTTGTAATTGTTAAGAACATTATAAGGCATTTATCTCAATAACTCTTAAAAATATGTTTGAAAGGGAGTTTTAGAGAAAAAGAAAGAGATGATTTTTTAATTTTAAATTAAAATAATTATATATTATTTATGATAATAAAAGCATAATTAATATATTAAATATATATCAATGTATTAATTTATATATTTTATTTTAAAAAATATTAATTTTAAATATATTTATTTAAAATGTAAAATTTATTTATTTTTCTTCCATAATCACTCTTTTCAAACAACTTCTAAATATTTTAAAATTTTATTAATATAAATTACAACCTCATACAATTCTTGTTCCACAAAAAATATTTAGAGATTTATTTGAAATTTTAAAAAATTGATGGCGAGTATATTAAGAATACTTACTGAAAAAATATACAATAATAAAGGCTTATGAAGATTTTTAAACTATTAAATATTTTCTTTTTGTAATAAATTCTCTTTTTTTTTGTTATTTTGACTAGTGTTAAGTGTATTAGTTAATTTTATCTTTTAGAGAAATATAATTATTTAAAAATAACTTAAAATATCATTCTATTAATGATATTTGTATTTCACTCCATAAAAATAAAAAATGAAAAATATAAATAACAATGATTATAAAACAAAAAATAATAATCACGGTAGAAATTTGTCGCGTAATTGCACTTTAATTGCGACCTATATTATGGCAAGGTTGGTGATATGGTTATTCAATATAATCAACAAAATGAAAAGATGGAGAGAATGGGAAAATTTGAAATGAAGAACAATAATTTCGAGGTGTTTAAAAGTATATAAAACCATTACCAGAAAGTAAAAAGAGGGAAACAGAAAAGAAAAGCTTTAATTCAATACAAAAGAAAATGTGGAATGCAAAATAAAGAGAAAAAAAATGAAAGTGATTTAATTAACTTTACAGAACTTGCAAGTCACTTCCCCTATTATTATAAATAATATTAAAAATGTATGTATGTGTGTGCATGAAAGAATGCTCCAATGTGAGTCAAATTACATTAATGCCATTCCTCTACTCATCAAAACCCCACCATCACTCCCACCTCTCTCAGACACAGCAATCTTCAATCCTTCAATCAAAACGGTGCGTTCCCTCTCTCTAAAATAACACCAACTTCACTTTCTCTCTCTATCTCTTTCGCAGCTTCACACACTATCTATTGTACTTAAATGGAAGCGCCGGAATACTTCGTCGGAGGCTATTTTGCCGCCGGAGGAGCTGACCAATTCTCGCCGACGGAGAAGCGCCACGCCGACCAGAAGTCCGGCGAGCCTTTCGTCATCGACGACCTACTCGATTTCTCCAATGCCGACGCCATTATGTCCGACGGTTTCTTCGACAATGTCGCCGGGAACTCCACCGACTCCTCCACCGTCACCGCCGTCGACAGCTGCAACTCCTCAATTTCCGGCAGCGACAACCGCTTCGCCGCCGCAATTGTCCCTCGTGGCTTCGCCAGCGATCACCAGTTCTCCGGAGAACTCTGTGTTCCGGTAATTCACAGAACTTAAATAACGACGAAATAAACCGAAAATTGTAATAATTAGAATTGAATTTATTAATTATTTTGAAAATTGAGTTATCTTCTGCTTGATTTTGTAACAGTACGATGACATGGCCGAACTGGAATGGCTCTCGAACTTAGTGGAAGATTCGTTTTCCGCCGAGGAGGAGCTGAAAACGCTGCAGCTTCTCTCCGGCGCCGCCGCATCCACTGCCATTGGCGCCAAACCGCAAACGCCAGAGTCGTCCTCTTCCACCGACACGCTCCCGCCGTTCGCTTCCGACGACACCGCTCGAAATGCACCGTTTCTCCACACGGAAACGCCGCTGCCAGGGAAGGCACGGAGCAAGCGCTCACGCGCCGCGCCGGGGGACTGGTCCACGCGCCTCCTGCACCTAGTTACTTCCGGCGAAGCGGCGGAGGAGCAGAAACCTCAGCAGGCGAAGGCGGCGCCGGCGAAGAGGAGGGAGGGATCGAATGCGGAGTGCTCAGGGCGGAAATGCCTGCACTGCGGCGCGGAGAAGACGCCGCAGTGGCGAACGGGACCAATGGGACCGAAGACGCTGTGCAACGCGTGCGGCGTGAGGTTCAAGTCTGGGAGGTTGGTGCCGGAGTACCGGCCGGCGGCGAGCCCAACGTTCGTGTCGACGAAGCATTCGAATTCGCATCGGAAGGTTTTGGAACTGAGGCGGCAGAAGGAACTGCAGCGACAGCAGCATCAGCAACTGTTGAGTCAGAGTTCAATTTTCGGCGTATCCAACGGTGGAGATGAGTTCTTGATCCACCATCATCACCATTGTGGGCATGATTTTAGGCACGTTATTTAGCCTACTCTTTAATTTAGGGTGCAGTGCAGTGCAGGTCTAAGTTTAACTATCGTCACGCACTCCTTTTCTTCAAAAGAACAATATCTGAAAATTTTGTCTTACAAATTTGAATTTGTAGCTTTTCTAATTTTTTCTTTTTCCTTTATGGCAGAAAGTCAGAAAAGAAAAGAAAAAAAAAAAAGCCTGTAGAATTATGGGGAATGGGTAAAAATAGGGAGAAAAGTGCTTCATTCGGTTGTAGAATCTACTCTTTTCTTGTTTTCTCTTTTATTTTTTTTAGCCGAATTTGGCAATTTTAGAATTACAGTTTTTGTTTTATTGGAAATAAATTTCGAGAAAAGTTGCAGAGAAGAAAGACAAATTGAATATAAATAATCCGGTGAATACCGAAAAATATTAACTGGTGTGGTCAACGTAAAATTTACAGTCATTTTTGTTATATTTATTTATTTATTGAGAAAATTAAGTTATAATGAACATTGGTTTAATTTTTTTTCTTTTTAATTGTGTAATCAATTAACAAGTTATAAAAAAGATAAAAAAAATAATAATTATTGGTAAAGGGGATAGAAAGAAAAAAAATGGGACATCACTTTTCTAAAATCCAATGGGCCATAGAATATGGAACCCAGATAACTTACATATCATGGAATTTGCATTCATAATACTAATAAATTAGCGACAATAGATGGTTGCTTGATGCATAATTCGGTCAATTGGTAATCATGAAACAATGTGTTGATTTTTTGCCTTATAAAAAAAGTGGGTTACTCTTCATCATCATTTCTACAAACTCGTGGATTGATGCGATTCTAGTTTTTCTTGCTGTTCTGAGAGGGGATTCAATTGATTTTATATGTGTATTTTTATTTTGAATTATCGTGATATCTTCGTTCTAACAGACAAGTGTGTCGTATACGAATGTGAACTTTGGCCATTTTTAAGACCAAGGACACATACCAACAATTTTGAAGGCCGAATTGAAGTCCATGGTTGTGTGCAATGTGAGTGAGTACCGAGGACCCAAATTGGTGGGGATTAGAGAAGAACTGTGAAATCAAAGGATTGCATGGATTTCAGTGAAATAATGAAATTAAAAGATTTCATGGTTGGGCAGTGGCCAGTTACGCATCGTCCTCTGTACGTACCATCTACATGGAAGTGCGTTAAAGGAAAGGGAAAGAATGAAATTATGAAACCAACGTGGGAGTGGCAAAAAAATATTAAGATGAATTAAAAGAATAAATTGGCCCTTAGCTTGCAAAATGGTGCAGCAAGGTCATGTGAGTTGAGTTGTGAGTGAGTGTTAAATAAACAAAGAATTAGGTACACATTGAGGGCTGATATAACTGTCCACCTGATCCTAGACATTTCCTCTTCCATGGGCTCCACTCTTTCATTGCATACACAGCAATACTATTCACGGGTCAATTCTCTTATATTCTTATTCCCATTAAGCATGCTCATTAAGCTCAATTTATAACTAATTTAAGCCCCATCTTATCTTGCTATTACCATTACTAGATTCATTATATATTTCTACTATTCTTATTATTTTCTTTCCTTCAAAATTATATTTAAACTGAAAATCTTAGAAGACAAAGTAACTAATGATGAATCAATAATAGATTAATTCCTTTATGGCGTGAATGTCTACAAGAAACTAGAAGTTCAACCATGGAGATATGAGAAGCAATATTTCTCTATCCCTTTCTAATCACTTCAGTCCAGAAAATAAAATGTCCAACATATATTACTCATGCAATTCATCCTGTAATCACATTGAATAATTAATATGCTCTAACAAAACTATTAATATAAAAAATAAAATATTTTATTGTACTTTTTGACATTCTATGTATGATTCACTTTGAATAAGTTTTATAGAAGAAAAATAAATTAATATAAAAATAAATAATTTTTCTTTCCTAAATTAAAAGTGATTTATATTCCTTAAATTTTAAAGAAATCAATAAAAACAAGCATAAAAAAATTTTAAAAAAAAATAATAGTATTACTGAATTTTTTTTACTCTTATACATATTTATGGTGAATAAATTTATACATTCTAACTTATGTCTTGTTTTGCTTCATAATTCATAAATTTGAACAAAATTTAATTAATTAACCTTTTTTACTCTTATAAATATTGTATGATAAATAAATTTATACATTCTTAACCTTAATACTAAAGATAATTACTTAACCTTTTCTTCATAATTTATAAATTAAAGATAATTATACTTAATAATTGGCAATTTCTTGAATAAAACAAAAAATAAATACCTCCTAAAATTACAACTTGGAATGGAATACTTAAAAAAATAGACAGTGAACTTATTTTATCTATTTGTACTTTAAAAATATGTTTGAGAGAAAGTTTTTGAAAGAAAAGAAAAAAAAGTATTTTTTAATTTAAAATATAAATTTTGCTTCCTCTTTCTTCCTCTCTCTCCTCCCTAATTCCCCTTCTCAAAAGAATGTTAGTACTTTTAATGCATTTTTAGCAGTCTATTTTTTAGTAGTACCTGAACTTTAATAAAAATTATAAAATTATGAATGATATTCATTAAATAAAAGGTAAATATTATATTATTTTGTATTTCAATTTTTTTAATTCATAATAAAAGGTGTTTATAAAAATTATATTAAAAAAATTTTGTTAATATTTTTTTTCTTTTATAAACATTATGCGAATTTCAAAACAGTAATGTTATTATTTACCAAATTTTGTAAGAAAATGTTATAAATGCTTTTTACTCAATAATTGGAAACATGACAAAATGAAAAAAAAAAAAAAGAGTAACTAAGTAACAGACAAAAGTTAACAATTTTATTTTAAAATTTCAAACATTTAGTATTAAAACATTTTTTTATTTTTAAAAGTAAAAGGTTTCTTATGGTTATGAGGCTTTCCATGCAATCCATTGCATGGCTAGGACATCCTAACAAGAACATACAGTTTACTTTAGCTTTTCACAAAGCGACGATATATTGAAAGAAAGAGTACGCAGAAAGTACAGTGTATGTACACATTGGTGCGTAGGCAATGTCGGCATTGTATATTATATAGTGATTAATATTAATATATTGAAAAAAATAAAATGGAAGAGAGTGGCGAAGTTATGATAAATGAAGAAGCAGTGCGACATATGAATGGCTAAGAAGGGGAGGGTAGTAGTGAGTGTGCATGTGGGTGATGAAACCAAGCACATGCACTACGTGACGTGCATCATGCATGACTGTTACCTTGTGCCTGCACTCTCTGTTGCTGTTGTTGATAATATATCCAAAAAATTCACGATATGGCTTTGCTGCTGCATGCCCCATTGTCATGGGATCTTTTCATGTTATGTGTGTAAAGACGATACTGATAATGGGTTCTTGTCCCCTCACACTACCCACCCCCCACTCCCTCCTCTTTTGGCTCCTTTTAAATTATTGCTCCTTCTTACTCAGTTACTTCTTTTGGTAATTTCCCATCACCCAGGGCTTTTTTGTAATTCCATTGCTTTGCATTTTTGTCACTTAGCTTAGGGAAATGGGGTAGAACCTTGGAGAAGAACATGCAAAGGGAAGTCATTGAGTAAGGTTATTTCTAAAGCCAATTCTTGCTACAATTTTTACACGAGAGAGATATAAAGAAAGCAAAAATATAAAATAATATAATATAGAGATAGATTAAGAAAAAGTAAGTGAGTAAAAATTATGGTAGTATTTTTTATTATTTAGTAGTTTTGTAATTTATACAAATTTAATTTTCTTGCACTTTTAGTATTGGCATGGGAGGAACTGCTATTTTTCATTTTGGTTTAAAGAGGCTCATGTAAAAAGTATATTTGGATGGTCAAGTTAGATTGATAAATAAATACAAAATAAAATCAATTAAATTCCAAATTTGGGGTCATCTCTTTCATGAATTTTGAGGACTGTGTACATGAATTTGGATTTCCTTTTGCCTCTCTAGATTTTTTTGCTTTACAAATTTCAATTATTCATCACGTGTTATTTCCATTTTAGTTGTTGTGTGAAGATGGATTCAACAGTTGAAATTTTACAGGGCATTAGCTGGATTAAAAAGTTACTTCGGAGAATCCGAACTCGGCGAACACATGATCCATTAAAAAACAATGGACTAGGATTAATTTTAGGACAAAATTTGAACTCGTTTAATGAAAGTAAAATTTTGCCCTTTCAACCAGCAAAGTTTCACCTTTGCGGTAAAAATAGGTGAAACCAATTAACATACTAATGCTTATTGGAATTGTAGTGTATAATAGCCTTCAATCGGTTATTTATAATTAATATTAAGGGGTGAAGATTATTAACTTCATAAAATATTTTGTTAATGTGTTAAAAATTGAGATCATTATTTTTTTCATGACAAGGAAGAAGAGGATCTAAATAAAAGAAAAGTTGTTTTTTTCATTGCATACATACGTATACATATATACCTAAACTTGATTGGACTAAAGATTGATCATATATGGGATAAAAATAGATATTAATTTTTTTTAATATAATATATTCATTTTAACATTGTGAATAACCAATAAGGATAAAATTAAAATTATATTTTAAAATAAATATATCAATATATAATCTTATATCATACAAAATCTTGTTATTAATTTAAAATAATTTTAAATATAACACAAACTTATCTTTAAAATATATCAAGATTAATTTTTAAAGTTTAAGTATGACAAAGTTAACCTCAAATCAAGTCAGTGAAACGAGACTTTATAATTACGAAACTAATTAATAAAAAGGTTTGTAATTTTAGAATTTTTTTTATTTTGAAAAATGATTTAGTGAAAGGAAAAGACAGGGGTTTATATAGGGTCATTGGTGAGTCATTGTCGTTAGGTAATAAACAAAGCTAACAAGCAACATTATTGGCTTCTTGGAAAAGTTGTGTGGTATGTGTATACTTCTTTCTCTGTAATTTGGCTCCAACCTTTCACGGATATGGTGGATGGATAACAATTAGTTCATATGCCTATCTGTTATTTTCATTTAGAGCGTGAATGTTTGTTAAGTGGTATGAAAAACAATCATCAAGTGCAACTTTATGGTGAACTTTATAATTCAAAGTTATATGAATAACTCTTTTCCTATTTCTTCCATGTGCTGTTCTCTCTCAATATATATAGAAAGTGAAACACAGTTATTTCACATCACAAGAATAATATAATACATAGAAAAATATAAAATGTGAAACAATTTTGATGAAAGAAATTTGGTTGAAAACAATTCACCACTTTTACAAAACAAATTGATGATAATAATGAATGAAGAATAACACATTTTCTAAAGTAATTTATCAAAGGGTAGCGGTATTATGATGGGAAAATTCAGGTCAAACTAGAGAGAGAGAGAAAGAGAGATTTGTTTATAAATTTAAGCTTCACGTGCCAAGGATATACGATTTGCGATTTCCCTGAAATATATGGAATTAGGTTCTGACTCGAGGGTTTGACCTTGTTATTGTTAACTGGCATTATTTATTATAATAATACATAGTTCACATAAATCAAAGCTGAACAACAAAGACATATGCATAATCGGTGCCGTATATTACATAAAATAGAAGCTATGCTTAAATTAAAAAGAACATATATAGAGAGAGTAGGATCATAGACCTTATTTTTCAACCACTTTGAGCTATCTCGAAGTGTATATTTTCCCATATGTTTTCACATGAACATGTATCTGTTTGACCCACTTTATAGCAAGTAATAGCCAGCCACTTTGGTTGTTACTGTATATCGAATTTGGTTCTTCAAATATTAAAATCAAAATTGGCTATACCCTACCTGTGGTAGATTTGACCATATATATATATATATATATTTTCACAAGCCCTGTTGGTATACTAACACTTATATATTGTGATTTGGTGCTGTGCCTAGCATAATTATTTTGTCAAACTTGTGTCAATAGCACCATATATTTAATGATTTACATTAGAGAAGGGAGAAAAATATACACCATTCGGAAAGTCATTATATGGCTAAGTAATTATAGGGAGAAAAATATATTTCTTTCTTCAGCCCAAAGAAACTTCAGTGTTTTAGGGCATTAAAGTTTTAGTGAATCCATGTCCCAGTTATGACTTGAGCAACTTAGCCCAAAATTTATTAATTCGTATCTATATGATCCAAATTAACCTGCACCTATTTTTGGGCCTAATTGGAATTAGTCAAAATCACTTTGCTTCATGAAATTAAAGTCGGTTTTGGTATCTCAATGATTCAATATGTTTTCTTACCTTATGCTCACATCAGTCATACATCTTCCCCATGCCCTTGCCTTCTGGTTCATCTTTTTTTAATGTGCTTTTGTTAGAAACAATTTCTGAACCCTTTTTGTTGTTATTTAAGAACGGGTTTTCCTTGATGTATGTCAAGAGCACATGTTAAAAAATTAATAAATATTTTTTTGTTTATTAAATTATAATATTTAATATAATTAGTACATTAAATTTTGTGATTTTTTATTATTTTAAATTTTTATTACACCAAAATTTTTATTGTGCATCATTTGAGACGTGTTAAAATAATTAATATAATTATAAGTAACATACAAGTTCAGCTTAAATAATTTTTTTTAAAAAAATTGTTATGAGTTAGAAACAGTTTAAATGAGAGAATTTTTAAAAAAGAAATATAAATTGTTTTTGACTTATTATATAAATTTATTTATTTTTATACTGACATCTTTTCTTATTAAAACTTCTGTAGAAATTTACCATAAGGAAAAGAGAAAATATAAACAACTAGGACCACTGGTACAATTCCAAAAGTTTAACTTTACAAATGCTCTTAATACCAATCAGAGAATGGTAACCAATCAATATAAAATGAACACAGAATGGTAACCACTTCCCAGAAAGTACCAATCACCAAATCGTTAATGTTAGGATCAAAAGTGTGATATGCACGAGCCACTTTCAACTCTGCCTATTTTTGGCCACAATCCAACCAATGGTAGACTTTGTAAACAGAGATCTTGGCCTTTGAAATGATTGCTAAGAGCATTTGAAGTCACAAGCAACGTTGAAACTTTGTCCTTAACTTAGCCACGGGATATGAAAAGGACTCAGCTAATTTTACTTAATTTTTGGCCACAAACTTTTTCCCATAACCCAAAGACCCCGTGAGTGTATTGAAAAATATCATGCTCCTGATTGGTTATATAATGGCTAATCTATTAACAATCTAGGTGAAAAGATGTTGCTTTAGGTGATGGGCTACATTTGCTGCTCTTCAAATTGTTTTACTTTGGAGATAAGACCTTGATTTCTTTGTTACTAATGGCAAACACTTCTTGCTCCATTGAGTTGGAACCTAAGACACTCAATCAAGTGCAGCTCACCCAAGCAAGGGTACATAACTTCTCCTTTCACTATGTTTTTTTTCTCACTATTGAGTAATGCTATTTGTACACTTCACTATGCATTCCCAATCATTGTTTTGGTAATCTCTATTGTTTCATGCAGGAAGTAGCTGCAGAAGCAGTTCAAAAGTTGGAACCAAATGAAGCATCAACTCTGTTCATTAAGGTATGATACCCAACCTTGGACAGTTAGTTTATGTGCTTAGGATAATTTTACAATGGGCCCTATAATATTCGGCGTTGGCTTTGTTGAAAATTAAATCCATGACGAAATTTGAGGAAAGGTTACTTGTTCTACGGGTCGTCACCTTTAGTTGCAAATTTCTGAATGAATCCTCGTAAATTAGTCCTTTAGATCTTGCAGTACAAAAAGGCCTAAAATTTTATACCCCTATAACTTAACAGGCTTAAAATTAGCTATAGCTTGTAATTTAATTATTACCAGATGTTGGATATAACAAAATCAAGTTCTTCATTTTTCATAACTTTACTGATACACAGCATCCTTAACAACACATCTCATAAATTCTTAAATAATAGATAGATAGATTAAAGTGACAAAACATGCCTGTTGAATTTATTTCTAAATCAATATTTCAAAACAGGACATAAAATTAGGAACACAACATACAAATATAAATGGACTTGAACTGGATAGAAAGGATTCAAAATCCACTAAAATATCGGCATAGGATATTATAGTTCTGTGAGCAAGGAAATTCTGAAAAAAAATTAAATAAAAAGAGAGTCAAAGTCACACAAACTTTGTCAATTTAACTTAAGAAGATGAAATTACAATTTTAAGGAGTTCCTTGAGATTAAAATAACAAAAAACAACTATATTCGGTTTATTGGACCACAAAACCCTCCCTGTGCTTATTGCATTGCTTTGTCTTATTAATGAAATAATAAGCTTATTATTGGCAAAGAAGGGACTCATGCATCCAATAAAGGAGGTGACGTATATGGATGAAAATGGAAGCCAAGTTGATTACATGAAGAAGGGTGAGGCTATCCCTGACGACAAAGTTTGCCACTGCCAATGCTCATGCACTACTCAAACCCCATTTCATATTAACCTAAAAGAGCCCCTTTCAGCACCATTTTGATTTTGATTATGTTTCATGCTTGTAATAAATTTCTCCTTTCTTTTCTTCTTCTCAAAGATGCTAATGCAAATATTCCTACTATTTGCTAATAAATAAACAGTTCTAATATTTGGATGTTAAAAATTGTACCGTGTAAAATTATACATAAAAGCACAAAAGTGTTCCACCAAGACTATAAAGATTTTAGAATGTAGGTCTAATTTAATACTAGAGAAGATGGTGAATGAATCTAAACTTAAATGATATGTTTATCTAAATTTCTTTAAATAATTTATATTTGATGTCATCTTATTCGCATATATTGTTTATTTATTATTAACCCACTAACATAAAATTTTATATTGTACAACAAAGACTTATAAAAAATATTTTCTTATAAAAAAGGTTCAGTCTACGTAACCCAATGCGCCATGAAATACATTTTTCCTTGTAATATTTTCGGATAAGTGTAAGCTTTATTGGATAATGGGCCTACCTCTGTGTAATGATGGAAACTGGACCCAATTTCATCATGTAAATATATGGGATATTTCTTTTAACACAACCTTCGAAAATGAAATTTTATAAAGTGCCTCTCGAAATCTAATTTTAATAAATAAATATTTTGAATTTTATTTTAAAAAAGGTGATTGATTGAAAAATGGAGTGGTGAAAAAAATATCATATATATTGAATAAAAATCAAATTTGACAAAAAAAAGGAACAAAAATCAAAATATTTTCAGAAAACAAAATTGAAATTTTCATCGAGCAAAAATAAATCGAAGAATCCTGGCATGATTGTTCAACATTACTTCAGATGCCACCAAAGATTTAAAATAAAACAAAATAACAACGGAAAATTTATTCCACTTTATCCATATTCTTCAAATTTGTTCAAAATGTTTTCCAAAATCACATGTAATTTTATGTTTTTAATATAATAAATACATATATATTTTTTATGTTTTACTTACTTTATAGAATAATAAAAATATTGAACAATTAAAGTAAAACACAATATCTTTTTCTCCTTAAACTCTGAATTCAATATTATTTCAGGCATATATCACTTATATTATGATAAGAGTTCTTGTCTCAACATAGTTTATTTTAAATTATATTATTCTTACAAATATTTTTATAAATATATATATTTTTAGTTTTTAATATGTATCTTATTTAATAACTTAATTCTTTCTCTCTTTATAACTATTTAATATTTAAAATAATATTTGAGACACTACTAGCTGGTTCTTAGTTTGTGAGTGTTGAGATAGATCAGAATTTCCTTTTTTTTTTTTTTTTTGTGAACATAATCCTTATGTGTTTGTATTTTTGTTTAAGCAAAAAATTATTCGCTTAAGTAAAATTACAAGAACACAGAATATGAAGATCATATATTATGAGTGATCCGATGATCTGTTAAGAATGACACACCCACTTGATAATAAGATTAGTGTTCACATTTCTCATTAGACTTTGAAATTTAAAATCATCAATATGCAAAACCTGTGATTACATTAAAGTTCACGAATTATATTAAATATATCAAAGCTCTTCAATTTAGTTTTAGCTTAGAGGTGACCCATGAAATCTAAAATACTACTAAATTTTACCAAGTTTAAAACCATTTTCTTTTCAAAACAATATTTGAGGACAACCAAGTTGTCTCTTTTGCTATTGAGTTTTCTTATTGAGAAATGCTATTTTTTTTATGACTTTAAAATTAAATTGTTGAATGTCTATTGTTATTTTCATTTAAGTAAAAGTAAATTCATTTAAATAAATTTTTAAAAAAAATAACTTTAAAAACTTATAAAATTTGTTTAAGTAAATTTATATAATTTAACAAATTATATAAATGTTGAAGAAAAGTAAGTGGAAGAGTTAGAGAAAGAAAAAGAAAGGGCGAGAAAAAAAGTAGGAAGAAGAAGAAAGACGGAAAAAGTTGAATAAAAAATAAATTATTGCTTAAAAAAAAGGCATCTAATTTATAGAATATAATAGATCAAACTTTATTTTAACTAAAGATAATAATAAAGATAAATTTGAAAATAAATATACATGTAAAAATTGATATATAATTTTTTTGTTATAAAAACTATTTTATAAAATAAAATCTTATACTAATAAAAATATTATAAATAAAATAAAACAAGATAAAAAGAACTTTATCATTGTAAAATTTTGTAATTTTTTATAGTACTTATTTCTGTTTCTTTGTTTAAAAATACATATAAATTTAAAATTATTTTTTTTGTTTAAATTAATTGATTAATTTTCTTATTTGTCCTGTATTTATTTTGTTGCATTCTATGTCTTCGTTTATCTCTTAACTATCTATCACTTTTTTTCTTGTTTACTTTTTAATTCAAAAATTGATGAGAATTTTTGTTTGAAAATTTTGTAAAATATTCATCAAACATTCATTTTTTAAACATGGTTTAAGAAGACAAAACTTCATTATTAGATAATTGTTTGAATATTTAATTCACATTCATAATATTCCATTAAAATAATTTATATTTATATATTTAAATTAAGTGTGTCTTTAAATTTGCGTTAATTTGGTTTAAATGCTGTGTAGAATGCATAGACAAAAAGAGCTGCCGTGACATGTGCTTAGAATTTATGCATTGCGTAATTATTTAATTAAAAAAAACTTAATTAACTTAAAAATAAGTGAATGACAAAGATGCTACATAATCTAATCTAAAATACCCGAAATTACAATTAATTATTAGACCTTTATATTTATACCTCATATTAAAAACATTTATATCTGTTTTTCTTTTCATACTTAAGCATTGCATAAAGTTTTAAACCAAAGGTTTTAAAACATAACATAATTACCAATATTGGAATGAAATATAGTAATATATGTACAAAGGTAAAAAACTCCCATGTCAACACACAAATTTTACCCTTCTTCCTCTTCTCTCTCTCTCTCTCTCTCTCATGCTCCATTTAAAAACCTGCAGCCCCCAGAAGGTCATTCATTCTCACTACCCCACCTTTCTACACCACTGCTCAAACACAATCATTGAACAGTGTCGGTATTAAAAAAGCATCAGTTCCCTTTAAAAAGAAAAGAGATCAAAACAGGGGAAAACAGAGCAGAAGCTACTCTGAAGGATGGTGAGTGAGCAGAGAACACCAGAGGAGACTTTGCAAGAGTCAAAGGTGGCAGCTTTGGAGAGTAGTGGCACAATGAGTGGACCGCTCGTCGGAGCCGCTGCCGGAACCCGCCGTCGCCGGAGGACTGAAGCTATGCAACTGATTCTGAGGATGTTATGCATGGCCACTTCATTGGTTGCACTCTCACTCATGGTCACTGCCAAGGAATCTAGCTCAGTCTCTATCTATGGTTTTCTCTTACCTATTCACTCCAAGTGGTCTTTCTCTGAATCCTACGAGTATGCTTCTTCCATTTTTTTTTTCACCGAATGCTTCATGATCTGCTTCACTCTTTCTCTCTATGCCGATTCAAGATTTTTTTTCTTAAAATATATTGTTAAGGGTTGTGTTTCATTTTTCCTTTTCTACTTTCCCTTTTTATGCTAATTTGAAGAGTTGTTCGCGAAAAAATGTTGAGTCTTACTTTATTTGATATTTTGCACTCTGGTTTCCCATAGGAGAGAGAAAAGGAAAAAAGAGAAAAAAAAAAAAACCAACGTAAGTTGTGTTTCTGAACTAACTAAAAAATGTTTCTTGTAAGAAGAATCTGAAGGAAATTAGCGCTTCTTCGAGTAAAGAACGTGTTGAATTATAAATACAGGATATCAAATTCACACTGAAAACCGTTTCTTCATTTCCCAACATTTTCTTGGCAACCAAGCCCAAGTTCATGAGAGTTTGCTTTTCTTATTTTATTTTTGAAACAGATTGAGTTTAAGTATCTCACAATAATAAAAACATTAAAGTTAACAAAATCGATATTTTATTAGTATTATTATTTGCCAGCAATGTCTTGGGGCTGTGGATTTAAGTTAATTACTGGGTTGTGGACAAAATTGACCAAGAAAAGTGGGACCTTGAAGGGGTTTGTTTGTCAAGTCATCATGACATCTGAATGAACAGTCATAGGCCCGTGATGGAATTTCTCTTTTTTTCCTTTCTTTTGCACTTTTTTTTTTGTGTTTGTTTGTCCCTTTGCCTCTGTGTCTTTTTAGACTTTGCAAACTTTGAAAAATTTCCCCCATACCTTAAACTAATGATACACTAGAAAATATGATTTAAAATTGATCTTAAATGTTGTACAGTCTTCGTTTCTTACCTTTAGCTTTTGAATTTATGACTGGTTACTTTGCTTGCTTATGATATAATAAAAAATATATATTTACAAGTGTACAACTTGAAATTGGAAATAATCTATAAAATTAGTTTCTTAAATTTTTCTTATTTGTAAATATAAATTTAATGATTATTATGAATTCTGATGGGCAGATATCTTGTTGGGGTTTCGGTTGCTGTTGCAGCTCACTCCTTGTTGCAATTTCTCATTGGCACATCGAGATTTCTTAGGATGTCTTCTGTGATTCCTTCTAGAAATCATGCCTGGCTTATTTTTGCTGGAGATCAGGTATATATATATATTATATAGATATGATGCATATTTTTAAGGTTGTTCTTGTGATCAAAATTGTTTCATAAAATACAAAATTTGGCAATGAGGAGCGAAACGTAGAGCTGTAGATCACATGTCTAGACTTGATACTCCTTTGGTCCCTGTCCCATCATTTGTAACTAACATGCAATTTTTTTGGAAGCAATTTCAATTAAATTCTATGGTATCAACTATGAACAGTTGTTCAGTGCAATGCATTAGCTAGAATCCAAAGTGAAGCAGAGGAATAGCTTTTATTTCTTAATTATTAGTGGGACCAAACTTGTATGGATCGTCTTTTTATGCTACCTTTGTTTCTAAATTATTTACAACAAGCAATGGGTTAATATTGGACTTGAGAATTAACCATGATGGGTCCTTTATATGGTGAAATTGTAGGCATTTGCTTATGCATTGATGAGTGCTGGATCTGCTGCATCTGGGGTGACCAATCTGAATCGCACAGGAATTAGACACACAGCACTGCCAAATTTTTGCAAGCCATTGCACAAGTTTTGTGACCATGTTGCCATCTCAATAGCCTTCACTTTCTTCAGTTGTTTTTTGCTGGCTACATCTGCTGTTCAGGATGTAATATGGCTATCCCAACACTGATATTGTTTCATATTATTCCACGTAAAATGTAACAAATCATCTGACACTATATTTTCCATACAATGATCCCTATCCTTTTAGACTTTGTAGTGATCAGTGTTCTTGTTTTCATCTCTCTTACATCTAGGTGTTATTTCTCATATGTTATATGAAAGACCCATGTATCCACTTGTTCATTGGCTTGTGATATCAAATGCCAATACGATTGCTATGAGCAATCTTATACTTTAAAGTAGGTTAAATATTTCAATTACATTTTACGCCTATTGCAATTTGAACATTGTTACACATCTTTTTACCATGATAATCGTATATTTTTAGAGAATTTTTATTTTTAATTTTTTGTCTCTTCCTATAACATTATTTATTTTCACTTTCTCTTTTCTTCTTCTACTTTGTGTACTATACCAGTGATTTTCCTTTTTATTGATGTTGCATATTTCCCATTGCGAAAGGTATTTCACACTGACCGAAACGGACATTAATCTTCAAACTTAAAAAATCAAATCCATTTGGATAACACTTGTACGTGTAGGCTAGGATTTCACACCATGACTTATGAACATCTAATTTCATTCATTCGGTTAGTTCGAAAATAATTTATGTTGCCGTGGACACGTAGCTTTCATTTTAATTAGCATCATGATTAACTTTGTAATGAAGTCAAAATTTATTTGCAATAATAATTTTTTTTCAAATTGTATTTGGTTTTTAGTATTATGAATATGTCTCATAATTCATCTAATGTGCGGATTGATTCCAAATTTTCGATTAATTGTTACATAAATTTATATTTAAATATTCAATATTGTTGTGAGATAGGACGATGAAGCGGGTAGGGTGTCAATATTTTCTTACCTAGAAAGTTTTTATCCCCAAAATCTATAAGGTGGGTAGGGCTGAATTTGGGCAAAAACTTGCCCTAAAATACTTCATTGCCAAGCCTAAGAAGTACATCTGATAATTGAGTTGGGCTGTTAGAAAATCACGTCAGGTTAGTTATAAAGCTTTGAACCAGAGGGAATTAATCTTTTGAATTTACCCTCGGGCTTGGATTTTAAAAAATTGAGAGTCAAAAAGACCAAATTAAAATAGCATTTTTTAGAATTAAATTTTTTAGACAACTACATAGAAAATGTGTAATGTTACATTGGAGGGGAAATATGTTGCAAAATTAAGTTCCTTTTTTTTAAACAGTTAAATTCACATTAATATGAGTGAAATACTAGTTTTAGTGAACATTTTGTCTGAAATTAGTGTAGGCCCTTTTCCTACTCCATATAATCACTGTCATTTAACTTACTTAATACTCCTTGATTATGAGGATACATTCGTTTTTGGGGTCCATGGATCAATTGGTTTGCACACAGCTAATTAACTTAAATTCCATTCAGGCCTTGATAAAATTCTATTAAGGATCAGGCCCATAAAACTCAACCCTGTTCCTACAGTGCTCATGATTTGTGCCCAAGTTTTATTTTAGATAGGGGATAGGAATGACATATTTCATTGATAACTTCAGATTAAAGCATGCTCCCATATGGTTGCTGCTTTTTAATTCAGAAATTGAATAACATAATTCTTGCTGCACATTTTATAAATTAAATAAAATAATAAAGAAAGGAAATGCAGAAAAAGACAGACTTTGAGTTACGTTACTAACTATCTCAGCCTCATTCAAAATGTCATCAAAATGAACTGTGCCACGAACCCCTTTCCAATGTACACAGTTATTACCAACAATCCAAAACCACCCAGTAACCGCCACGTCACCCCACGTACGTAATCGCCTTTATGTTCCTCTTAATAGGCCATGCACTCATGCACGTCTGTTATATATACGTTGATACTTGCCTTTACAATATTGTGTATTTTTTTATAACCATTAATAATTGCTTTTCAGTGTTGTTGGGTGAAAAAGAAGAACTCAAATATGGCATCCTTTCCGGGCATCTTTTGTGCTACTATGATTCTTATTTTGGCTGCCGCGGATTCTTCAGTTGAAGCTTCTAGGATTTTCAAAGTGGGTAACCGCTTGGGTTGGAATGATCCTGGCCCCAACAATACTGCATTTTATAATCAATGGGCTGCAAGGAACAGGTTTCAAGTTGGTGACTCTTTGGGTAAGTTTGATTTCATACCCCACTATTCACTACACATAAGTGAAGTCACATCACTCATTTATTCACTGCATGTGAATGCAATTTGGGTTTGTCTATAAAAAGTTAATACACTTTGTTTACCTAAGATGAGGTTATTTATTCTGTAGGGTAACTTAGACAAACCCATGGAACTAAGAATGAACTTTTCTTAGTTACCTTTTGCGTTACATTTTATTATTTTATGTTTCTTTTGGGAAAATTTTGCATTTTGTTTCAAATAGTGAGGGATTCCAATAGAGATGTGGTGATTCATTTTTTTCTTTGAGCAGTTTTTGAGTACCATAATGACTCAGTTCTGACTGTGGAGAAATGGGATTACTTTCATTGTGACTCAAATAATCCCATCAACACATTTGATGATGGGAACAGCACTGTCATTCTTGATAGACCTGGGACCTTCTACTTCATCAGTGGAACTGAAGATCATTGCCAGAATGGCCAGAAATTAACTGTAGAGGTGATGTCGCCACATGCAATTCCAAACTCTCCATCACCCTCCATTTCCATTGCACCACAAGGTTTCTCAGCATTGGCTCCTTCAGCTTCTCATGGCTCAAGGGTTTCTGCCTACATGGGTCTTGCTTCTGTCTTTATGGCTCTTTTGACCACATTTGCAATTGTTCATCTGTTAGCAACTTGACTTCTTGTTCTGGTCAAATTGGTTCACTAGTTTTTTGTTTTTTACTACTATTATTATTGATTGAGTGTGATTCGTCTAGGTATTAGCATTTGAACTATAATTATTTTTGTCTATCATCCATTTTGATGATATTATGTTATGATTTTTGTCCTTTATTTATAATCCTGGGTTGACTTTTTTTTTCTCTCTCTCTCTCTCTCTCTCGTATGCGTTTAATTGCTTTTGCATCAAGTTGTGTTAGTGTATTGGGTGTTCTTCACTTTACCTCCTCTTCTCTGTCAACTAGGAAAACATGTATTTCCAACAAATAGAAAAGAACAATGTTTTTAGTAGATATTTTATTGGATAACAGGATTAAAAAAAGAAAAAAGAAGAAATGTGACAGAGAGTTTGAATCCATTCCGTAGAAATTTCAGCTTTCGACTCTACTAATCACAGAATCTGCCACTGCATGCAGCATATAAAGAGTAAGCAATTCAAAATTTTGTTGTGGTTTTAACTCTACGATCTGGACTTTGATAGTTGTTGATTATGTTTCTAAATAACTAAATATAGATAATTATTTCCCGTACCGTTAACTTCCTTTCCCATATCCCTTTTCAAAATTTTGGAGCAGTAACATGAAAACTTTAGTTCAATATAATCTGCTGCACGTGTAAACTTTATTATGAATGTTCATATTGATAGCACTCTAGATATTTATCTGACTATTGTTTTGACACATCAAGCCCATATATTGGAAATCACGGTACTTGAATCGTTAAATGTATAAAAAAAAAAAACTTCTTTATAAAATCATGAATAGTTAAATCATGGGTGCGTAATGTAATTATACTATTAATCACTATCACACCATTTTTCTTTGTCCCACTAAAATTACCTTCAACTTTTATTTTATTGTCAACGAATCACCTTCATATACAATACTGAATGGGCCCAAACTTGAAAAGGCTGAAATTTGGTTTCCAATCAAAACATTTGTAATGCCTAAACAATACTGAAGGTCCATATTCGTGCATATATCTTAATTATACCAGCTTTTCTTGGACCGAAAAACAAAATCTGCTTTTTCCCACCTTCCTTCCACATCCCAGAGAGAGAAAGAGATCTGTCTTTTATTGTAGGCAAAATGTTTATAGTTGTTATGATTCGATAAATTTATGACCAATTTCCTCCATGAAAAGAGGATAATAAAAGATGGCAAAGAATTAGAAGGAATAAACTTTTGCTTAAGTAGCGCATATTTGTAGAAGGGACATGTTTTATTCTGCCATAAAATACTAAAAGAATGTTAAACATAGGTTTTTTTCTTTTTCATTCTTAATTTATTGTTTCTTTCTCATATTCTTCTAATTTTTAATAACTTTTAGCTAATAATTAAGAATGTGTTACATATTTATTATGTTTCTCTTACACTTTTCTAATTTTTAATAACTTTTAACTAATAATCATAAATGTGTTAGAGATTGTGTTGCTAACTTTGGTATTTTTTAAATTAAAAATTTGTCAAATCAAAATTCTTAGACAAATCCCTTATCTTGACAATAATAAAACTATTTCGTTATAATTTCAATCACGAATGATGTCCTCTTCACATTTCATTTAAGGGTTTAAAAGTGGAAAAATAAATTAAAAATCAAGAGGAATAGGCTAAAAGTGGCACGTTCAAATTTGGATTGCTCCATCTCCCTTTGTACCCTTATGTAGAGTGCGACAAACTTAATTTGGCACTTAAGCATTACAATTACAATTATTGATAGAACACGCCATTTAAAGGGAATCAATCTCTTCCTTCGATCATAGCCAACCAATTCAAACTGAATATGCATTATGTGTGTGTGATAGGGAATGAAGTGACCGAAAATATTATAACTAAATATATCCAAAGTTAGCATCTAGACCTCAGCATTAGCTTCCTTTCTTACGGTTGCAAAACCTAATGCATGCAAAAATATGTTTTATGGTTATAATAATTGGTACCTCTTTTCTAGATGAATGATATGGTTCATATTGTTATATAATCCAGTACCAACTAGATGAATGATATGCTTAACTTTATATTAATAGGGGTTTCATCATAAGATTTCGGCCAAATGCTAGTCTTCAATTTTTTTTTATATATTTTTGGTTTTCTCCTTTGTCAATGTGTTTTTGTCTTTTCATATTGCAATTCTCACATTTGACATGCTTCCAATCAGTTGTTATTTTTATTTC